CCTTAGCCCACATTGAAGAAATAAAAAATATTCCTATTGGTATACGGTGCAGAAAAATACAACCTGGTTTTGTTTTATTTATTTTGTATACAGAATGAAATTTTAACACCTTTGGGTCCTCCAAAAATCAAAATGCCATGCATAATGATTGAATTTCATGCTTTATCATGTGAATTGACACTGATCAAACTGTTTTTAAGTAATGGGCCAAATTCACTATTGCAGTAGGGCATAAAATTGCATCATTCAGGCTTTTGACTGATTACCAAGTTGCAAAAAATTGTAGCCATCCTATAAGCTGTAGTCTGAGGTCTTTCTGAAGTCAAAAGATGTGTTGGATTTGTGGGATTTGTGCAGTGGAACCTGTACTTTAATACACCTACGTTAATAATGTTCATGTTTTTCTGAAGTCAGAGCATGACTGGTAGAAAAGCTGGCTTTATGCTTGAGTGAGAGCATTTCGCTTTCTTTTCACTGGAGGAATTTTTAGCCTGGCAGTAATAGCATTATAATAACGGCCAGCTGCTCACTTGGCAGAAGAGTACCTAGAACCAAGAGGAAGAGCCTGGTGCATTATGTGTAATTTACTTTTCTCTAAAACTTGAAGGTTTAGGCCCCATAAATATTTTGATCTGGTCTTTGGCCTTTGTAGACATCAGTCTGGGAATATGCATGTGGAGCATAGCTTGCAGATTTTAGTTTGGAGTACATTGAAGTAATTCCCACCAGGATAAGAAGAGAAATTATTCTGGGAGATTCATCTGTGAGTGGGTGGTCAAGAAAGAAGGAAAACCTTTAACGTTAAGCAGATGGACCTCCCTCATTTTATACTGTATATTGGGAATGCAATATAATCATCTCCCCAAATATTGGATAGTATAGACCTGATTTTCACATCAAAAGAATAAGGTTCAAGACATTATTTGTGAGGTAGAAACTTGGGAATGGAGAGGAGACTTTTTTAGTGTCCTCAACTCTGTGCTTGCCCACTATTGTCAGGGCAATGATACAGCAGAAATTAGGTCTGGAAGGGTATGTAGGAGCAATCATTGTACCTTTTGCCACCTGTAAACTCACACAGCTGCAAGCCACAGAGCACTTCTTGACTTACAGTGCCACTTTACTCTTTGGTATTTAAAACTGGCTTCAGAAATGACAGTGTACCAAAGGAGAAACCAGGGAAGACTATGGGCCTTTTTAACATCTTTATTTCTAAATCCTTGAGATGTATCTGGAAACAGACCACACAGGGGTAGGAAGTAGGTAGGAAGACATGGTGGTCTCTGCTGGTCTGATTTGGGAGAGAAATTTTGCTCTGATCTGGTAGTCAGTTTGACCATAAGTGTCTGAGCAACAAACACTGAGGCACCCAAGAAAGTTAATACCAGTGGGTGCTATCTTGCATCCCTAGGATGCAAGTTTCTTGCATCTCTACATTTCATTTCTTACAGTGGACAATCTCCAGTGAAATTAGAGGAAACTGAAATTCAGGCCATTTCACCTGCATCTGTGAGAGAGGGGAAAAATTTTCCATGTCCTGAAGACGTCCTGGGGTGTGCGTGGGAGTATAATATTTGGGAATTCAGAGCTTTAAACTCTAAAGGAGTATGTGATTTGAAGCCAGTTGTTTAATTTGCTTCACAGTTCTTTATTAAAAAAAATAGTAATGCCTTCTTTCTTGGCAGTCTTTCTCTGTGTTAAATAGATTCTTTGTAGAAGGAGCTGTCTTATTCAAAGCCCCATGCAGTAGTCAACTAATGAGTCTCTGATCTCAGCTGCTAGTGTAATGTAAACAAATGCTGCTTTACTATAACAAAGTGCTGCTTTAGTGATACTTTTTTTTTTTTTAGGACATTTGTGCCAAGCCTGATCTATTTCAAATGAATGGGGAAGCAACATTTTGATTGAAAGCAACTGCAAAACCCAACCTGTTATGCAAATCCCAAGCTTTCAGCTGGGCGGTCCCACATCTGGGGGTTGCAGTTCACTCTAAATCCTGTTTGAGATGTGGATGGGAGAGTAAAGCAATGAAAAAGTGGAAGAAAGGTAGAAAGGTGAGCCAGTTTAGGAGTCTTCCATGCTGGCTCTAGGCAGTAGCTGGAAGGAAGATGTTATTTGCTCTTCTTTCTTCCCCTTCTTGTTTTTGTTCCATTACAGGGGTAAGAGTGTATCTGTGTGTGTGCCTTCTTCCCGCCACATGTGCACAACACCGGTGGTTAATGAGAATCTGAGAGGAGGTGGTTCTTTCTTTCCTTTATACTTTTCATACTACTTATTCTCCCTTCCCTTCCTTCTGGATGTACAGGGGAATGAAAGAAGGAATTTAGTCAGATCTATGCTTTTTCTTTCATGTACAGCTGTATATGTCTTGGGGTATTACAATTGGGTCCCTTTCTCCTGCCTTTCCACTAAAGTTCCATCATATTTTGTGGTTCCCAGGCTTCGCTGACAGAAGGATGATAATATCCACGTGATCTGTTTTTGCTTCAGCTACTTACAGATTGTGAGTAGCAGTGGGGCTGACCAGCTGCTGCTTGTTTTATGGAGTTGCTGCCTCAGTTGCCTTGAGGAACAGAAAAAGAAAGTGGCTTCTCTACAGGTTGAGGGTGGGAGGAGGACTTCTTTCTGCAGTGTCACCGGAACAGTGGAAGACTGCCTTTTTTCATGCAGGTTCTTTTCCTCACGAGCTTTCAGTGCCCTATGCAAAATAAATGTAGTTTCAGAAAATGCCATCATCAAATTTATCCTGACTTGTCTCAGCAGAAGCAGCAAAACTGGGAGTGGAATTTTGATGCTCTGAAGTAGCTGGTTCAGCTGAGCTTCTACCTATAGGCAGAATAACATTAAGGAGTCCCCAAAGTATGTACTTGTTTGGGACTGTGTGTCCCATTTGATTTGACTGTTCACTAAATGATCACTTGCCAAGTTTTCTCATCAAAAACCAAACCGATGCAAACAATAATGTATAAAATTAGATCCAAATAGTTGTTGAAATTCTTAAATTCAGAAATTTAAGAGTGAACTGGTTTTGTTTGTTTGTTTAATTATGTTTTGTGTCTTCCACATCTGTGGAGATGCACTGTTCTAAAATGAGCCCTACTGGATGAGGGAAAGCTGTAAGTGTTGCACACTGATGCCTCCCAATGACCAATATAAAGCAGCACACTATGTATATTTGTAAAACTCTTCACCTCCCCCACTCATAATATCATCATTAGATCATCTTTTAAAGTAACTATTAAACTTACCATGTACCAGCCAGTGAGTGTCTTTGTGTTAAATCCTCATTTAACATTGTGCAGTGATTGCATATGATCAAGCGAGGGGGGACAGCTGCAGCATTTTAAAATGCATGTACATGGAGCCTGTAACTCTTGTATTTTTAACACAGTAGTAAGAATTCGATAGAAGCTGAAATAATAGCTAGGGTACTCCTAACCTTTAAAAATAATATTAATAAAAAAAATTCAGTGGAAATGTCAATGTATGTAAAATTTTATCTACTACCTTATGGTATCCAACAAAATCTTTTGTTGTCTAAAAAGCCAATTGTATTATTTAAGGAATGCATTCTCATTTTAAGTATTCTCATACTTTAAAAAAATAACAATCTCTGCAAGTTCCTTCCTACCTCTTTTTCTCTTATTTTTCCTCACAACTGTATTTAAATAAGACCGCCATAAACCAACTCATTTGTGGACACTGATTAAAAAAAATTTGTATTTTAAGGGACAACCTAAAAATCCAGGAAGCTGGCATCACCTTCCACAGACAGTGTTCTTGGTTCAAGGTCAGACGATTGATCTTTAACCCACCCTGCATAGTTTAAAGTGGTTTTTATTTAGCACAGGGGTTGTCTGCTGATATCAGCCCTTTTTAGTATGTTTATATTGGTAGAACTTAATGAGATTACATATATTTTGATGAACAATTGCCACCTACCTACAGTGACTCTTTATGAATATTTGATGATAATAAGTAGTAGGAACTTCACTGTGATGCTCACATGCACTTAAAAAACCAGCAGCACAGGAATACCTTTTGTTCTCTGTTTTGCTTGCGGTAAACAGTATGACATGTATATACATGTTAGTTATTGGGCATATCTAGCATATCTCTGTTCCTAATACGAGGAGTTCCATTTAAATCATAATCCTGTTGTTTTAGGAGGCAAAGGATGCAGGATGGAAGATGCAATTTTTAACATCTAGATTTCTATTTTAAGTTGAGGTGGGGTTGACTGGTCGGTCTCATGTATCTAGCTATGAATTAGCACTTGCAAAAAAGGAAAAAAAAATACAGTAGAACACACCATTTTGCAGATGCAGCCATGTTCTACAAAAATCTAAAATTAGTATCTGTAGATCAACAATTTTGTAGACTTCTGTGCAATGTCTTTGGTCTATCCAGTATCGCCTTATCGATCCTATAGGCAGTACTTTTGTGTCATATTGCAAATTAGGCAATGCCTGTCAACAGCAGGCATCACCTTTTATCATCTCTTCATCTGGTTTCTTTTGTAGATGGTGTAATAGAGGGTCCTCACCTTGTGTGTTGTTTCGAGATGTTTTTGTGTGAAGCTGGTATTGAAAACCACATTCCTGATTTAATTGTGTTGAATTGTGATACTTGGTTTTGTTTGCACATTTGAAAACTAACTGCTTTCATTATCCAACTTGCTTTACAGACCATGTTCAAAACACAACTAATGTTTTCTAAGTTGCTGTAGCTTGTTTAATTACATATTTTTCCTTCTGAGACTCGCACGGCCTGCTACACAGCTATATTTTACCTTACTAAAGTGGTGAGGACAGCAGCAACAGCTCTGACATTTATAGTTGGAGGGTTTTTGTACTTAAAATAATCTGGCATAGTAGTTACTAGAATTATTTTTTCCAGTAGCTCCTGCATATTGAGAGTGTAAAATCCATAAGTTTATTGATGCTACTATAGTATTTTTCTTGAAAAGCGGTGCTTTACAGAACTTATTTTTCTTTCAGGGAATCAGTTTCCTCCTATTGCAGCTCAAGATCTTCAGTTTGTGCTGAAGGCTGGATACCTGGAAAAACGCAGAAAAGGTAAGTCTAACTATCTTTGTGAAAACTAGCGTGTATTTTATATCTGGGAAGTCTATGTGTCAGTATTTGATGTTATACACACAAATAAGTTTATACAGGAGTGATAAATAAAATGGAATAGAAACTGAAGTGTTGAAGCATTATTATGCAAAAGCAGCACAGCACATAATTGCTCCTGTAGTATTAAAAGAAAATCCTATTTCTTTATTGACTAAAAAAATCATGCTGTGAAAGTCCACTGCCAGCCATAATTCAGAGACTTTCAGATATTTTTGAAGAAAACATTAGGAACGTATGTAAAAATACCATATGTTGACTTCATGTTTCAGTGAGCATCAAGATTTATTTTCCTTCAAGAGGGCAAATATTGATCTCAGCTTTGGTTCAGTCAATATTTACCTTGATTCAATAAATCTTATATTGTCACTTTAATACCCACTTAATGCTGCAATAACTCTAGGAAATATTTAGGAAGTTGTTCATTATTTCCTTATATTTAATGTTACACATGACTTCTCTCTTTATATGATTTCAAATTCCCATTTGTTTTCTTACCACCAATTTTTATTTCTAATTTCCTTCTCAGTGCCATACATTTCTCATCTTCATATCCCCATTTTGTTTCCTTTCCTTAGCACCTTCCCTGTCTCCTCCTCCCTCTTACCTTACTCTTGAAAAGAAGTAATGTATTTGTGTTCAATAATGACATAAAGTGGTATAACACAAATTATATTAATTGCAGACCACAGTTTTCTCGGCTTTGAATGGCAGAAGCGTTGGTGTGCTATCAGTAAGACAGTCTTCTATTATTATGGAAGTGACAAAGGTAATTAAAATAATTATGATAAACTATAAAAATGATCTTTTAATGCACAGAAGAATATGAAAGCTTTAGTGGAGTTGGAAACTGCGAATCTAAGGTCATTTTAAGAAAGCAAATGAAACTTTTAAAAGAACAGGTGGTTCTGAAACAGTGCTGTGAATTTTAAAAATGTGCAATACTCTTCAGATCTGTAAGTGATGTGCTCATTTTCTAAAGCAGGGAAACTGAGGAAAAAAGATTAAGGTACTTGTAAAGCTACTTTGTGCGCCAATAACAGCTAGCTATTGGGTTTGATAGTATGCTGGTACTCAATTAATTTACTGGACACAAAATGTTCTTTCTGTCCAAATAGGATTTTCATTTTAAAGCACCCTCTAGCAATTATACCTTCCGAGTTTTTTAAAGATGGTTCTATCCAGGAAAATGTTAGTCTAAAAACTGCATAGTGGAGTTCCATGTTTCTTTCTAAATAGCTTATGTTCTGAAAAAGCTAGAAATGAAGTAATATATTTAATTAAAAGCCAGTCATGGAGACTAAAGCTAGCTTCTGAAGGTGGCTTTTAACTTCTAATGGCCAGTTTAGAAAGAATCTGGTATAAATGTTGGAATATCACTTTGAATTTTTAAAATTGACAGTCAAAAAACCATCCTTTAAATTGTGTGCCAAGTGTATTTGATGTTTAAGGGTAAAACAAATGTTACAAAAATATATCTGAGTAAATTTTAAAAGTGAAATTAC